TTAAGAATATGCTATTTATAATCTTCCTTAGACTATTCCTTACTTATCACTCAATAGTCAGCATAAAGCTAATTYAATTTACTTTGCTGCAAAATCTGCTTGACTTTAGGAGCTAACAAATTGATACCTATTTTTCRTTTGCAGATGCTAAATTGGATTAAAGAGAATCGACAAGAGTTTTTATTGAATTACTCAGAAATTGGTCAYGATAGTATAACAGCAGAGGAGCTTGAAGAGGAGCATAGGAATTTTGAAAGTAGCTGCATGGTGGGTACAGATAAATTTGTTATTTTGATTAGCTAGACTTGTAGACAAACCAAGTTCCTTGAGGYTTTCTACAGAGGCTGACTGTAAATATGCTTAGCCAATTTGTAATATAATTTTTGCGTAAATTTGCATTTGGTACATCAGTAGGCAAAACGGGGAAATTAACAGGCAAAAGAAAGTGCATGTGAAGTATTTTCAGTCTTATATTTTCCAAGTATCACTGCTACTAAAATGGTAAGACTCCATGTTCTTGCAAATGTTTCAGGATTTATGTCTAATAAGCAAGGGTTCTTTAATAAATGTTATTATCATATAATTATCCACAAAATACCTATATTTCTTCTTCTCAAAAAACTGATATTTTCACATGAAAATATCGTTACCATGTGTATTTAAGCTATTAGTTTATAAATAAAAACTTTTTATAATCATAAAAAGCTTGTTAAGTTAATTTTGTGGATAATTATATAATAAACAGAATATTACATGGGCGCTTGGAGATACAAAATTTATCTTCTCGTGTTCAAAATCTCTCATTTGTTTGCTGTGCTCACTCGTGAGAGATCTTTTCAACACTTGAAGATAAATTTCTTATCTCYGCGCGCCCATGTAATATCCTCTATTTATGTTATATATTCTAAAAGTAAATAAATAAAGTTTGCCTTAGGTGTCATATCCATGGCCAACAAAATTTAGCCTTTTTGATTTTCAGTTTTACCTATTTTTACAGAGTACTAAATTAAGAAAGAGAATAAAAATGGATTAGAAATATATTCACTAAATTATGATGAAGATGATGATGATGATGATGATGATACTTTATTTATATAGCGTAAATTCCATAGCAGTCCAAATGCACTTTACAACATTACAATAAAATAAAAACACACAAAACAAAAATAAAAATATAGCCTAAACTAGAAAGAATAACTGGAAATATATAATGAAACTTAGTGCATAAAGATAATTTAAGTAGATATATTGACACATTTGAATAACTAACAACAGGAGGTAGCAARAGTGAGGCTTCTGCAAGAGTTACATTTTTGAACAAACTGTTTTGAAAGTACGTGGGTCGTAACAGTTGTAACTGTCCAGTGACGTTACGTAGTAACTTAACATGGCGCGTTTAAATGTGTTGAGTTTGTCCATGTTCAGATTTAGTTCATCAGCGAGAGCGTTCCATATTCTAGTTGTCCTGATGAGGTAGGATTTCTGGTACGTAGAGGTCTTGCACTGACGTACTGCGTACTTAACAACATTACTGTTTGATGATCTTGCTGGTCGTGTACGTCGAGGAACAGGTAGTAGATTAGGCTTCACGTGTATCAGGTTGTGCGTTAGTTTAAAGAAAAAAGTCATGTCAAGGTATTCATGCCAGTAAGTTATTGGTAGTAAAGACAGAGTTTTCAATCTTGAACTGTAAGAGACGGTGGATGTGAATGGCAGTTTGAGAATGTATCTTGTGGCACGTCGTYGTGTTCTCTCAACTCTTGATATTAGTTCAATAGACTGTGGTGCCCATATTTGTGATGCGTATCCAAAGTGAGCACGAACGAGAGTAAGATACAGCGTTCGTCTCACGGAAATACTTTGGATGTATCGAGTGTTTCTTCTGACGTAGCCCACTGAGCAGTTTGTTAGCTCTAGATATGAGGGAGCACAACCTTTCATAGCCTTGAAAGTTAGTAAAAGTTACTTGTAGTCAATTCGTTGTTCAACAGGCAGYCAGTGTAAGTGATAGAGAATGGGCCTTATGTGATCKTATTTGTGACCGCAGGATACTAAACGTGCTGCTGCATTTTGAACCCGCTGAAGTTTTTGAATTAAGTGTTTTGGCAACCCATACAACRAAGAATTAAAGAAGTCAAGTCTAGAGGAAATGAATGCATGAACTAGAGTTTCACAGGCTTCAAAAGAAATATATTTACGGATTTTCCAAATGTTTCTAATGTGGAAGAAACATGATTTTCAAATGGAGGTATTCTGGTCTTCAAGAGACATTTTGACATTTTGTCATTTTGTCAAACAAAATGGGACTCAAGATAGAACCTTGTGGCACACCACAATGCATATGTCTGTCATGTATTGTCGATAAATCACATTGCGCGCTCGTTGACGTCATCTTATCTGTCTGTCTGAGCGCCGTAAGCACTCAAGAAGTTTGAGAAGTATTACGGCTCGTGCTTTTCTTTACACTTTTTTCGTGCATACGTCACCTCCTGCGTGCTTTATTACTGAAAGGGGCACGGAAAAAGCTGTTTTATTCGTTAAATATTCACCTACAGTTGATTATAAAGCGCACGCGCACGCTCGTTTGTCGATGTGTGCCGTTTGCAGAGACAAWTAAAATTTGGAAAAAAAGCTCTCCTTTATTTATTAATTTCACTTGTGTTAAAATACTGAAACAATTATTCTTCGAGTAACTGCTCACCATTAGTAGATGTTTTAGAATAACAATAACAACAACAGCAGTTTATTGTACCATTTAGAAATAAATATAATAACATACTATTGTGAAAAAGATAGAATGAAGACACAATGCCACATAAAATACGCAAAGGTCTATCAGATATTTTTAGAGCAAGGGMAGCACCTTCTACTTAGATATTTTGAATCCCWGTGTTGTCCGGCCGCGGAGGCTTGAACCCASGACCTCCCGCACAACAGACGGTGCCCAACCAGCTGTGCCAACCGGGAGGCGATTTTTGCATCAACATCATCATTAGTTGTAYTAGTATCATAAATATTATTATAATCATGATCATCATTACCATCATCGCTATTATTATTATCAATCAGAAAACACAAAATACGACCGCGAAAGCTGTTTGGGATTTATAGTACCGTTTCTMTCCGATACCAGTGGAATCCTGTTACATGCAGACCTACAAATGCTGATCTAGATAGATAGATATCTTGGTGYCGCTCGAGGTTTATGATAGTATCGAATATTTCGACTTCTTGGTAGCAATAAGTTTTTACCCACAAAGGAGACTTCTCCTACTGGTAGTTTTGCAAGGACATTTGAATTATATTCTAGGAAACCATTTAGGAGTTTTTTATGTCTGATCGAAATATGATACAAAACTATCTTGATTATTGTTTATTTGGTATTWATGGAATTAATATTTATCTCTCTAAACTTTTTGAAGACAAAGTCATTCAGTTGATGTTGCGCATCAAAAAAGGCTTGACTAGTGATAGTGATGGGTTTTTTGTTTCTGATTGTGTGATATTGCAATTTTTGTATCTGATTCGCATGGTATTTTTTTGCCAAGTACTTCGTAAGAATCTATAATCGAAGTTTTGTTATGGGGGCAATTCTTTTTACAATCCTAATATTTTTGTGCATGCATTTTTGTTTAATAAATATCTAGAAAATTTTCTTCCGCAAAGACTTCTTACTAAATATAAAKATATATATATGTCCGGTATTCCACAGATGTAACTTTTTCCCTTCCATTGTCTTGTCAAGGAAGTGGATGGTAATATGCGACGCATGCGCAAGTATTTACGGATTTTTTTGCTACACTTTGCAATTCTTAGTACTAATTACTTCCTTGTAATACTGCCTCATGATTTATATACTAWATATTTAAAACCACCAATGTATATACCTTTAAATCTAAAGGATAAGCTTTCTAGCGTAATGTGGCTTTTCGTTATTGCTATTGGCAACCAATTTAACTCTTGAAGTAATACATTGAGCAGAAAACAAACTTCAACGACCAGATGCTGATTCAGGATCGTTTTTATCTGTGTAAGTGAACTAAATCATGTTTAGCAGACCATACATTTTAAAGGTTTGTAGACCGAGAAATTCCTTGTAATCAATTTAAATTTATTTTTGATCTTTATTTACGAAATTCAGTTTTGATAGTTTTCTTATATCGAGACTTTGAAGTGTAGTTCTGTTTTGGCGTCTTATTAGCAAGGTTTAGATATAGTAGGAAGAGATGCTGGAACGCTTGCCAAYGAATGAAGTAAGTTCAAATATAATCTTTAATCGTCCTTAGCAAGTGAAGGAAGACGAGTGAAATATACATTTGAAACAGATGGTCATTTGACGTGTTTAAATTCTGTTCSCTTGTAACATTAAAAATCTTCCTAGGTGAAATATTGCTTGGGCTTAATTTAGTATTACAACCGAGTCACTGCACTCGTTTCACCGTGTTTCTTGTCTTTCACCCTAAAATTTGGTAATACAATTCATCACTCAAAAAGCTTCTTTTTCGTTTGGATGCACACATCTGATGTAAAATTYACAACATACAGTTGTGAAGATGCTGCATTTCCTTTGCTATATTYGTGCGAAGTGAGAGTTGGTTTGTTAATTTATGCAGATCTTTGAAAAATTATCTGACTTAGCACCTGCCTTTCGTGTCTTGTTTTTGTAGCTTAGTTGAAAATTGGACAAAATGAAAATTGAAACTCCTTTCCCTTCCCTTAAATTTTTGCGGGGAAGAAAGTTGATGTTTGAAAACCTGCTAACGAAACCACTGTATGCTCGATATCTTTTAACCCATCACTTAATCACAGCCGAATCTTTATTTTCTTGGTCATGGTCCATATTTAATTGGAAGAAAACTATAAACAAATGTCAAATACTAAGTAATGAGTTCTCCTACTAATTGGCTGTAGAGCTGTGAAACAGGTCATTGGAAATCAATGAACTCCAAGCAATGAAGTTGAGTTTTCTACGTTGAAATTGAATCGAAAAACACAATATGAATGAATGGATAAGTCGATAGCTGATGAGTATTACTTATGCAAAGTCGTAAGCCATCGTCAGATAGCGCAAGATAGCACTGTAGCGTTGCGTTGGATACTGAACTTCTTCAATTCGTGCTCGGTATGGCATCGTGATTTACCATGATATTCGGGTTCATTGGTATGTATATGTGTTTAGATATCTTTATTATTTATGTAGTTTTGTTGCATCATTGTATTAAAATTTCGCTGTAATATACCCTTCACTTTGGTCTTTCCAAGTTAATATATATTTTTTCAATGTTTTTAAAGAGTGTAAGAAATATTAATTATATTTTCGAATTTTATATGACATAGTCTCCAGAGCATAAGACAAAGCACATTTTGTTCGATCGTTTATTCTTATATATTGTCGCTAGTTTTCTCATTTATGACGGGTAATATTGCAAGATTTGTTATCTAGTTTTCGACTCTTCCTTACCTCAGAAGTTCTTCCGTCTTCCAGTTCATTGTACAACTCGACATTCAAGTGGCATAATCTCCCAATCTGCATTTCTTTTTCTGATTGGTTTTGTTTGAGCTCTCCTTGATTCCAAACAGCAGGGCACATGTCAACTTGTATGCAAATTTAGTAYTTTTATTTCAAACTAAACAACGCTCCCGAAGACGTTTTTTCGCATTGTTGATTACGCTCTTTCGCATTCTTGTTAAACAACATGACAATCCCTTTTGGAACTTACGCTCAAAAGTTTTGTTAGCATTTTTTGTGTATTTTGTTAAAATCTACTTGTTGTTTTAGCAAATTTTAAACACATGGCTAAACATTTTCACGCGTCGTTTTTTATTTATATTCACTTCATTTATTTGCTTTATTTACATTCCGTTCCAAGGAATAACGCATAACCAGCACCAGTCATTTTATCATCCTAATCCTGATAGCATTTTAAATGACGAATAACTAGAGATTAGTTCGATATTAACCAAGGTATTTTCAAATCATAGGTATAGCATATTTACATCCTTAAATCTTTTCTGTGATACCATACAATTTTGAAGTGCGCGTCATATCAGGGACTGAAAAAGCCACGAGGAAGTTATTTAATTAAGCTTTAATATGCGTAAGATTACTCAGTAATCAAACAATGCAAGAGAATACAGTTCCACTGAAAATAGCTTTAGTTTACTGTTACAGGTACCAGGAAGAGAATGCTGCTACATGCAGTAATTTATTTTTAGCGTTGCCTGAGATGGAAATTTCTCTTGAATTTATAARAATTAGATGGGAATGTCTCATAAATTGAAGTCAAGAATTTTATCATTCTGGGTGGCTGCAAGCACCATAACTACACTATTTCACTATAACGTCACTGCTGCTTGTTTATGTGGGGGATAGAATCGCCAAATCCAATAGAAAATTCAACAAAATTTGCTCCTAGCGAAACAGTTTAATCTAAAATGGCCTGGTTTTCAAATATAATATCTGTTAACAAATATAATATGTGTTTTCAAATATAATATGTCTTAAAAACTATCAAAGTCTGCTTTCTACCATCTCAAGAATATTTCCAGAATACGAAGATTTCACTACCACTGAGAAGCTGATTCATGCTTTCATAACATCGAAAATTGACAATTGTAACTCTCTTTTGTTTGGTCTTYCTAAATGTTCTATTRACAAGGTCCAATCTATTCAGAATGCTGCTGCCCGACTGCTAACTCTCTCCAGAAAACACGACCATATCACTCCAATTTTAAAGCATCTTCACTGGATATCTGTATCAGAACGTATAAAATACAAGATCCTATTACTCACTTTTAAAGCTCTTCGCCATCAGTCTCCAAACTACATAAAGAGTATGATTACTTCCTACAAACCTTCAAGACTTCTCCGTTCTTTAAACTCTCTTCTCTTAAAAATACCAATTTACAATCTGAAAACTTATGGTGCACGATCCTTCTCTTTTGCTGCACCTGAACTCTGGAACTCTCTACCTCTATCTTTAAGATCCTGTCAAACTGTCCTTGAATTCAATTCGCAACTTAAAACTTATCTGTTTAAAAACTATTTTGATTTTTAGTTATCATTAGTTTTTGATTATTATTGTTATTATTATAGCGCATAGAGCATTCATTTGGATATGGGCTATATAAATGCACTATTATTATTATTATTATTATTATTATTATTATAATTATATGTACAAAAAATATTCTGAGAGTTTGCTGGCTATTCTACTTCTATTCGTGGATTGATACGGGTTTTAGAACAAGTTTTCGGTGAATTTGCATTGATTTGACCCCCTCCGGCGACCGTGATCCTTTGCGTTTAAACAATAGATTGTTTTGATGTGACGTCATAGTGAAATAGGGCAATTGATGTGTGTATTTTAGTCCATAAAGTCTGGTTCTCACTAGCGACGCAAGCAGACGCAACCAGGTAGTACTAATATACTCGCTATGAAAAGAAGCGACGCAARCGCAAGAGAACGGAATATTTTGTTTTTCTCGCGTTGACTTGTGCTTGTGCTTATGCCTGYGTTGGCTTGCATCGCTAGTGACAACCAGGCTTTCGATAGTTCATTTTTTATAGCGTTATGAATTTTTTATGTTACCATTTCCATGGAAACTACAAAGTGACAAATGTTAAACTTAAGAGTCGTGTTAGAAAAATCATATTTTACTCGATACAAAGACTTTGTAAGTAGCTTAGCTAATATTAGCTAAAAAACATTTTTGCGGGTGCGATTTAATAGATAATTACTGAGGCACAAAGCATTCGTAGGTATAAAGCAGGCAGCTTCGGGCTATGCCCTCAGCTGCCTGCATTATACCTACGAATGCTGTGTGCCGAAGTGATTATCTAGTATAATTATTGTTCTTATCAAGATCCAATTGTTTTCTTTCTAACTTGTTTATCATAGAAACAAAGCCAATAATGAATAAACTAAATATGTCTGATTTTCCTCTATGCATTCGTTGGGATAATGCAGACTGAAAACAATGGATTTTGATAAGATCAGTAATTATTAASCGTTAACAAACGCAGTGTTCCAAAATGAATTCTTAAGGGACGGACCATTAGATAATTGATGAGGCGGTTGCGTAAATCCCCCAAAAATATATCGAGCAAGCACTTCACCTACTAAAAGAATATCGCGCAACCTCCCCTTTCAGTAAAGAAACATCGAGGAAACACAAAAAAAATTTTTGCGTGGAGGGTTGTTACGAAAAAAAATAAAATCGTGCAACATAAATTCCTGCAACCTTCCCCTCGATCATCTAATGGACCATCCCTAAGGGACGTGTTGAATATTTGTTTTACAACCTCAAGCAGTATAGACTGCTGTTTAGTCTTGATCAATCACAACCTCTGTGTAAAACAATGATATAAATCTATCTTGTCCGCTATATCTGCACAATTACTCTTGTTTTACTTTTTGTTTTGCTTCAAGGCTGGATTTACAGTCTAATGATTGAATTCATCAATACGGCATTTGTTATTAGAGAGAAGATTTAAACGTAATTCTCTATTGTCAGCAGCTATTTCATTTTTCCCACCGCAAGCGTTTACCAGCGACAGGGTTTTAGCTTAGCCAGGAGGTAGAATAGAATCATGAGGCTGTGGTTTAGTTCTCACGCGATTAGCACAAACGGCAGATTAATAGAGTGTGTCACTTCTGCTTTATCGAGGCAACATCAAGGCCTCTTTTCTTAGCCTTAAATTCCTTTAGAATGCAGCTGGAAWTTTCCTAATATTAAAGATGATAAGTTTCTAAGGGTAGTTGGGTTAGGCAAACTGCTATTAGCTGGCAGGCACGCAACCAGTCCGATATCTTCTAATACACTGGATCTAACCACTTGTAGCAGTCTTGATTTACGTTTTTTTYCTTCCTTAGTTATCAACCGTTACAGAAACTTAAGAGAATGCGCATGACTGAAAGCTTTGCTTTTTATAATAATTCMTTTTGTGCGATCAATATAAAACAGTTGCGCTGTTCATTTTGCATGATAATCATTCATACATTATATAGTTGATCTATACAAGATCCACCAATCAAACTACTCTTATAAGAAACCCGGCACAATTATTTCAAGAATATGTCATCAATACTCATCTTCTAGATGGATTATTCGATACTATTTATTAGGAGTTTCTTTATTTGTTCTCTTCCTATTTTTATCCAATTTCATTTGATTGGTTACATGCAGTCAAACAGATTCGTTTTGATGAAAAATCGAAGTCATTAAATTGGTCTAGTTTAGTCACGCCACACCGTCTGTGACACTAGATTCGATATTACTTCACACGTAGACCACATTTTATCACTGCACCAATATGTTCAATTCATGCTTTTTCTGCAAACTCAGATTACTAGGAAGAGATGAAGAATAATCATATCTAGTAGAATCCAACCACTCAGCTAGTTCTCTTCTTACCTCATTAAATTATTTCTTTTGATTTTTGTCGTCCTCCCCCCCCCGTGCCTGTCAGTCAAATTGTGTCTGTCTATTGGTTTGAAATGTTTATATACATCGCTCTTTAATCTATAGCCTCTTCGTTTATGCTTCTTTTTGCACCTGTTACACCTTTCCCCCAGTGCACAGTTCAGCTCRATTCAACTCCGTATTGTACAAACCGGTTTTTACATCATGCCAATTGATCTCCTTGTCTAGTAATTGTTTTATTTGAATCGTGCTTCCCTTTTGAATGCTATTTCCATCAATGGCGCAATTGGATGAGTATTTGACAGTAGTTATTTAGTCTAGGCCCAACGTAGCACTTCGTAGGCTTAGCATTTTCCAATCATTTCGTCCAAAATTTAAATCTAGCGTTAAAATAACACCATTAGTACGAGATAAGATAACTTGATGAAGCTACATCGATAAGCCGAAAAAGAAATAATTCGAAAAGATCACAAAATGAACCTTACAAAGTGTTATCGACCGACTGTCGCTGCTGTAAGAAGAGAAACACTTTAGGCGTCGCTGTGTTGCCGTAAGTAGAAAATGAAATTTTAAACTTGTGTTTCARTCTATATATTTCACTTTTATTTTCATTGTTAATTCCGAATTAGCGGTTGTCGTTCATGTGTTTCGAATAATTTTTCTAGAACCAAAGAGAATGATTTCTAAGAAATTATTCAAAAAAAAAGTAGCCAATGCTTAAAGGAATGATGCATGTAATAAATAGGTTTTTTAACAATTTCAATAAAAAATTAATGCAGAAATTTGTATGCCATGATAATATGAAATCAACAGTATATTTCATTATTATCAATCTGTCTTTTTTTTTAAACCACAACGAAATTGAAATTSAAAGGCGCAAGTCATTTACCTTTGGTTCCATAATAGTTCGAATGCACAAACTAACGGAGATAAAATAAAATATACAGAGAAAAAATAGTATATTTAGATTCTTCGGACGCCGGCGTTTGGCTCGAACAATTAGGAATCATTGTCGATATTTYTCGCTTTAGAATTAGCATTGTATTTACTGTGTAGCTGATAGACATTTTTGAGTTTGATTTTGGTTTTTATTTGCTGGTATATCTGTGTTGTAAATTRTATTTCATCTTTATGACGTACAAGTGTATTTATTTGCATGATTACTTTTTTCATTTAAGAAGATCTTGTAATAGATTAGGCCATAATATTATATAGACCAGACGATTGGTAATTTGCATTTCTGGATCGTATACGAATATTGCATAGCAATTCGTTTCAGCACAGTTTCAGCTTTAAAAAAAATCACAAATAATAACTTAAATCTGGGGATTTTGAATTATTGAATGTAGGCGGTGATTTTATTCAAACTACTACTGTATTCTACAGTAATAATAAATACTGACCTTAATTTGTCTTGTAGAAAGACAGAACTTTTTGTTCAGAGTTTAAGGCATTATGGGTAGTGGAAATTTCCGATTTTATTGTTTTGAAAATCCCCTCAAAACAYAAACATCTTCGTCTTGTGTAGAACATTAACACGAGAAACATTGAGGAAACCTGCAGAATCTTTTTTTGAAAGTTGATTTTCGTGATGCGAGACAATGTAGACAGATAGAAATCGAATTTGAAATGAAAACGTACTTAGTAATTCCTACTGGCTTCATTTGCATCGTACTATAGCTTGTGTGTTTTCTCTAAACACTGAGGCTTAGTCATAGATAAACATGGATGAGAATACTCACCGTTCTTGAAATATTTGAACAATACTCCATAACTACCTCTCTTTTCATTCTAAAGAGCTGAAACGGTCTGGACTTGGTCGCCTTTTTCTGGACTTACGTTTTGCCTACAGACTAGGTTCAACTTAATGTGGTTATGTGAGTTCTGAGAAAAACCTTATTTGATTCTTGTCGATGGTCTTGAAGACTTTATAATCGATGTAAGAGTAGCGTGTTCACCATAGTCGAGGGCGGCGTAAATGCTAAACCTCACACAGGAAAAGATATCCTCCTCTGTGAACTGAAATAAGGATTCAACGGATGTAATTGTCAATTTACATTGAAACAAGCTCAAATGAATTCATCCATTTTCCTCTCTATTTCAGAATGTTTATGGTAACATTCATCGTGTGCTGGAGATAGCAGATAAGCTGAGCGAAGGCGGCCATTATGAAGCGGACAGGATCGAGGTCATAGCCAGCTCAGTGGATTCCGAGTGGAAGTCGTTTGACATGGAAGTGAACCAGAGAAGCTCGCTGCTATCTTGTTCCGTGGCATATCATCACCACAGTGAAGAGGTAAGAAAAAATTGCGCCATCTTCTATCGATTATTTTTTTCAAAGTATTAATATTTCAAAAATAAATTCGAGGAATTTGATGCGTGGTAGGATTAGGTGCCCTCTAGTCAGGAGCTGTTGTAATATTCAGCCATWAAAAAAATGTACTCGTATCTCGTAAAAATGAGGTACTAGTTAATACAGATAGCTGGTGAATGCCATGATCTAAACTATCACTATGTATATGAGAAGACAAAAACAAAACGGCATACCAGAAAAAAAATCTCTAATCAAAACAACAACAGCAACAACAACAACRACAACAACGACAACGACAAAAAAGGTCAGTCGGCTCATTTAAGTGGAGTGCACTGATGGGAACCATCGATTAAAACGTTTATGAACCTTAACTTTCAGCTTTAATTTTTTCGAAGAACATAAACGTCATGTACGTATCAGTCTCCCTTGGCGCGAAATTCAAAGACCTACTTGTCGTTCTCTGATTGATCTAGAATTGTTATTTTAATAGAATAACAATATGTCTATAATGAATAATGAAACTAATGGAATAAACAGTCAGAAAAAATTCTGAGTGACATATGCGTGACGGCGTGATGGCGTTCGTATGTCAAAAATCCAGYAGCTCAGTGCTTAGAGCATGCGACTAGTATCATGGGTTCGATCATGGGTTCGATTCCCATCTGGGGTTCAGATTTTTTACTAAGTTCCCTATGTCTATTCCATTAGTTTCATTAATTGTTATTTTGTCTTCCTACTCTATTTTTAGCTATTCTTCAGTCTCCACTGAAGAGTTTTTTTAATGATGTTCAAGTACAGCAGGGGCGAATCCAGAAATTTGTCAGGGGGGTGTCCCCAATGAAGAAATGTATATGTTATTGTAAGATAACTGTTCATATAACAGGCCTTTTGGAACAAGTAAAACTTGAAAACAAGTTTGTTCTAGAAGTATCCATGCATTTATTGTAATTGTGAAGTTTCGGTTTAAAATGTAGATTATATATCGATTTACACAATCATTACTCGTGCCTGGCGAAGCTGACGCGAGCCAGGTTTTAGTTGTGTTGTTCACTGTGCTAATACAAAAAGTACCTTACACGCACAATAAAGAAAACTCTTAGGTATGGTAACAATTTTGGATGAATTTTATGGCTAATTAATGATTAGCGTTGGAACCATATGCTACGACTGCAACTTGAAAACATATCATGTGCCGACTAGAAAATATGTTTTCAAGTTGAAGGCGTCGCGGATGCTTCCTCGCAAACGCCGTGTTCGTCTCGATGAAGAGAAAAAAATGAAGATATGCCCGATGGATTTTATTTTCATCTTTCAGTTTTATCTAAATTGGGCTCCCTCTGCTATTGGGAGCTCCGCTTTTAGGCAGTGCTTAAATATATATTACCGTTAATCCTGGTTTCTCCAAGTTCCTTAGATGTCTTGTTCTTGTTTTTAACATTTTCTCAGTACCAAACCTGCTTTTCTCTTGTTTTCTCGTTGATTTTTGCTTTATATACGTTTCCATGTGACGTTTTAGTGGCTTTCGAGTATTGAATTAAAATTGATTTTATCACGACTCATGTACCTGCCTCATGGAGAATCGCTACATATAGCCGAGGATGCAATGGATTTATTCTATTTAATAGATAAAATTAAAAGYGTTAAAGGGGATAATCCAGTTTATATCAGTTGTGTGACTCGCGTTGATTTTATGGATTTTGGTTAGTAACATCTCTAATTCTAAAAAAACATGAGACTGCAATGGATTGCTGCTATTTGATAGATATAACTAAAACCGTTAAAGGGATATTCCAGTTTTTATCAGTTGTACGACTCGCATTGGTTTTAAGGATTTCTAATTAGTATTTTATAGCTGGAAATAACAAGAATAATAATTGTTTTTAAAACGAAAAACCTAGGGCTCTTTAATTGAAAAAAAAAGGTTAAATAATTCTGCGATATCCCTATATCACATGCTAAAAGAATGTCTGTTTTTGGTTTCTGTGCTTGAAGATGAGAAAACAGGCTAAAACTAATTTTTGTTTACTTTTCAGTTTCTTCGAAAGGTTAAAGTGTGGAAAAATTATTTAGAAAATTCGCAGCTTGGAAAAGAAAAAAATGTAAATAAAGTGGAAGAAACAGTGGAGGAGTTGGATAGAATAAGGCAAGAAATCCAAGACAGTTTTCACACCGTTAGTATGGACAGCAAAGCGTTGTTAGGAGAACTTCAAAAACCTACAATAGCTTGTGATGACCAATTTCTAAAATCTCCAGAGTATTCCGAGGCATCTTCACACGTTATGGATATTTATTTGGAAGTTCATGAACACCATCGACAATTGGGAATTTTATGGGAAAAACAGAGAACTCGATTACGTGATCATTTACATTTGTGTATGTTTGACCAGGACAGCAGTCAGGTAAGTGTTGATATATATTTGATGAGGCAGGGTGCTGTTGACATGTAAAAACAGTAGTAAGTGGTATGGGTAAACTATTTAAAGGGAGCTTCAATTGGTATTAAGTTTTCCGTCATTACATTAATGATCAAGACTCTTCTAATTCATGGTTCCCCTTAGTTACCTTTGCTATGTCCCASAAGCTTAACAAATTATCTGGAATATCTCGGAATAGTTTAAAACTCTGATCGCGGAAAATTGATGATAATTGTTTCAATACTAGTTWACTGTCCTACGAAAAGAAWATGAAAATTGCCTCGTAGTCCTTGTAGTACTCTTTTAAACAGATACTGTGTAGTTGTTGCAAAGGTTGATCCTCTGAACGTGCAGTTCGCTTGATCAGCTATCGTCTTCATAGCGTTTTACTTATCAGTGTTTTGCTACCCTAACTTCTACATATTTTCTCTTATTTATTTTAATGTCGTTTCAGTTTACTCATCGATTGTTCAGGTAGCTCAGCCCCTGTTCCCCCATTTTCTCATCGCTRTTGTTATCATTTTAATTGCCATTTGCTAACTTTTATATATTTACTGTTATTGATGACACCCCGTCCCGAACTAGATTTTGTTTCATTCATGTGCAATATTAAACACCCAAMCAGGTCTAAGCAATGCGACAGGCGGCCCAGGTTCAATGTTTTGTTCATAAAGAGTTTAAATTCTCAGTAAATTTTTGAGTGAACCATTAAGCACGCAACTCGTAATGAACGAACATTGAACCTGGGTCGCCTGATATTTAGGGATATAGTAGTCGGAAACGCAGAATAGTAAAATAGTTCGTCATCTCTTTATCGCTTAGTTGCTCATACCCTAAGAATTTCTAAATAAAGTCGATCTTCTTTGAAAAAAACACGATCTATCTTATGGCACTTTCCGTATACTTTCACCACACGAAAGCAGTGGCGAAAAGCTCATAAAATAACATTGCCTTCCCATAAAAAGTAACTAAATCGTTCGCGAAATACTTCTAGCAATAAATAAATTGAAGTTTGACCTAATTAGATTGTGAAAAAAAAAA